CCTGACCCCCCCTCCCGGCCCCCCCGCTGTGCCAGCCTTGTTTTTATTCTTTCAAATGAAGTGAACTTTGATGATACTGTGACTGATGGTCTTCGTGATTAAGACTAATGATATGAAAAGCTAATTAGCTGCCATCACCAGCGCTGTGAAGAAACTCTAAGCGTTTTCATAAACGTGAACTTTCCAAATCAAAGACGCGGCGCACACACACACACACATCCACACACACACACACACACACGTGTGGGGTGAATATTAACCTCGTCCTCTTCTTTAAGAAATAATGAAAAACACGCACAACTTTATCAGTATGCAGAGCTAATTGGATTAGCACCGGCTAATCGTGTTAGCATGTCAGGCCACAACGTGTTAGCGTACTGATGTTTAAAATGAACGTGAAGAAGTGTTGAGTGTGTGTGTGTGTGTGTGTGAGTTAGCATTAGAAAATAGAAAAATGTTGAAGAAATGAATTCGTTAACGTCAGAAACTGTAATACGAAGATAAAAACAAAAACAGAAAAAAAAAAAAAAAAAAAAACTCTGATTCAAACCGATACATGAGCACAGAAATAATCACGTTTGAAAAACTCTCTCCAGCTGAGCTGGAGTGAAGTACCTGATCTAACAGGTAAATAAACATCAGTACTTCTCTGAAGATACTGCAACTGACGTGTTGACGCCGACAACGCTGAAAAAAAAAAACCAAACCAAACAACAATATTTCATTAGACGGAAACGTCTGCACGTGGTGACACGTTGACGAGGCGTTGGATGAATAAATAAATAAAATTCTACTTCTATAAATTAAAACCTGGCAGCGAATACATCTGTAACTCCAACAGTGTCAGTATCTGAAAGAATCGGCCGATACGAAACGTATCGCGATAGAGGGGCAACGATACGATATATTGCGATATACAGCGATGCTATAGGTCAGAGGTCTCCAACCTTCTTTATACCAGGTCGGCCAGAATCAGCTGTTACTACTTCATACAAACATTGGTGGGTAAATGATCTTGTTTTTGCTGCCACCTGCTGGTTGAAAAAAAAAACTCCTTCTGCTGATTACTGCTGAACTTCAAAGCTTCAAAGCAGAGCTAATTGGCTAACAAGTGACCATTAGTGACCACGTAGCTACATCCTCCACCGACAGACACCAGACCACGATCACACAAAGAGTTGTCGGACTAATTCCCGTGGGTATGAGGGTGAAACTCACAGCCTGCTTATTTTTTGACACAGCTAATCCAAACGCCTGCAGCACTCGCAGCAGCAGCAGCAGCAGCAGCAGCAGCAGCGCGGCGGCGGCCCACTTATATAACTGTGGACTGACGGGGAGCAGGGAACTCTGGGATGTGTGCAGCTCTGCTCTTTTTCACATCTTTGTGGAAGCTTTAGTGAAGCGTCTCTGTCAGCCTAATTATGTCACGACACCAGCGCTCCGCTGTTCACTCTGAATATTAACGTAACGTAGAGGAGACGCTCAGGTTGGCTGCAAATTATTTGATGGAAAACGCACTTCACTGTACGACCAAACTAGGGATGTCGGATATTAACTTTTTGCCAATATCAGATATGACGATACTGAACAAACACGAGTCTCTGCCAACAACGTTCTTCATACAATCCCCTGATTATTAAAATGAGCTGCAATGCTGCCATCTAGTGGCTTTCACATTCATATACAGGCGTTTTTCCCCACAATTTTTTTAGGGTACAGAATATTTAGCGAAACTCGGGTATTGTTGGTAATCGGAGGAAAAAAACATTACGATTCTTACAGATATCACATAATTATGCTAACGTCGGGCCGATAACATCAAATTGTTTTCCAACTGTTTTCGCAGCAGTGACCCCTGGATCTACTCCAGGTACTTTTCAGAACCGTAACTCTCTGACCCGATGCTTGAACCCCGTCTCATCAGTGCGGTTCTACCTGGAGGTCCTGGGGCTGAGCTTTGACCTGACGGAGGAAACTAATTCCTGCAGCTTTTCAACACTGGTTACTGCTCAGAGCTCGCAGATAAAGTTGATCCACCGACGGATCACTGAGGTTCTGTACCCGTCCCGGTCGTCGCCACCTTCAGAGTTTTAAAAGGAACAGTTGAACGTCCTGATCCCGGCTTTGCATTTCAATCAGCTCCACACTCCAACTTATTTTCCTAAGGCAAAACTTACACCTCCAAAAATTTAATTAAAACCTGACCTTTACTACTTGAGTTATGCTCCAGAGACAGAGAGACGGGCCACGAACGAGACAATAAAACAGAAGAGCGAATCAGAAAGACCACGGCTAAAATTAAATCCAAACAACATCCCATAATTAACACCGCACACACTCCTCAACCAGTGAGTGTGAGCGAGATTTAAACTGGCCAACGCCAACGTATTCACACACATATATATATATATATATATATAGACCTGCTGTGGAGCTACCAAACACACACACACACACACACACTCCTTGAATCCTATTAAAACTGTTCTTTTGTTAATTAGTAACTAAATAAATATTTTACAGACGACTTTGCTTCAGGTCATACTTAAAAAAAATCAACTTTAAAATAGTAGATGGTTAATATAAAGATAAATATTAAATATGTAGCACCACATCAGGATGTGCGTGGTACTGCAGGGACCTTCAGACCTTTCCTGCAAAACCTGCTCATTAACTGATAAATAACAATTAACTTATGCTTTTAAGTATTTTACAAGTTATTACAAGGGTTGATGGCCCCCCTTAGTTACAGAAAACAAACCAAAAAAAAAAAATCAAATCAGAAGAATCTTGGTGATGAAGACCGTTCGACCTCTTCACTCCGTCACCGACCCTTCAGTTTCAGTCGTGTGTGATTTCAAACGACTCCACATCCATCCTCCACGCCCCAGGAAACACACATAAACCATTAAATCCCATTACCTTCACACCAACCACATCCATCGTCCACTCTGCATCACACACTCGCTGCGTTCACGTGTTCATTAGTGTGTTTGTATATAATAAATGAGCAGAAAAAAAAAAAAAAAACCCCACGCCGCCTCACTTTAATTATGGCGTGCTTCTTCTACTGAGGAAATACAAAATTAAACCATTAGTCACCGGCCGGGAATTTATTTACAGCATAAGCCTTAAAGAAATTGTTTTTATAAGAATTACAAACGTTAAAACTGCCAGTGTCGATTATTTCCCCTTCAAACCATGAGGGGGCGACGCGTTCACTGCTTCACTCAGAGGAAACTGGAAAATGATATTTTCATGGTCGGGTCTAATATAAGATTTTATTTTCAATCTCTATTCAACAGTACCACGTGTACCACGTGTACCGCGGATACTGCACGGATACTACACAACACCTTGAACATATTCTCTGTTGTGTCTTTTCATAACACACACACACACACACACACCTTCATAATTGCAGCTGTGTGTGTGTGTGTGACCTCTCTTTGAACTCAGGATCACAAATGCTTCTAACTCAGGGGTCTCCAACCTATGGTCCGGGGACCAGTGCTGCACTGGCAGACAGTAAAAAAAGAAAAAATATATGTTTTTACCTGATTTACTTCATTGAAAAAGAATCTGTCAATGTTTCAAAACAGCAGGTCAAAGGTCATTCAGACTCTGATACAAACAGAAGGAAGTCTAAAAGATGTTTTTAAAAAAAAAAATTGATTCTTCCACGATGGCGGGGTATTACAGAGCCGCAGTAACATTTATACTGATACGG